TTTTTTTCTTTTCATCATCAAGCTTATCTTGATATTGAGGTAGAAAACCTCTCTTTTCAACGAGTGTTGGTATCAGTAAACACGAAGTTTATTTCGGTGCATTATAAGACTTTTCAATGAAGGAGAGGTTAACTGTTATTCGAGTCCGTCGCAATAAACGCTTAGTTGCCTCACAATATGCGAATATTTTGCGTCATTGATAATTTACGTTTTTGAAGGTATGTAAAATTTCGATTTGTCGATTTCTGCCCTGTCGATAAGTAATTTCAACATTTTACCACCTATTTATCGATGGCTCACAAAACATACGTTCTTTACCCAATGAAGCGTCTTGCAAAATTATCTAGTGAATCTAATTTATGGACGAAACAATCATTTCATGCTAATATGCAGGTATCACGGATATTTAGGATTTTATAAGGATTTCATCGGCGAACATTTTCTAAAAAAAGCTTTTAAATACGATCTAACCAAATGTCAGAAACAGTGCAAGCAAGCTTTATATTTTAAAGAAAGTTTGGCTGGTGAGATGTGAGTGATCTTAACTGTCTGGTTGTCTTTATGGAAAAGATAGCACAACCAGTCATTTGGCATAGATACTTGAACAAATGTATTCACCTAATGTGTTCCAGTGAATCCAATAAGGAACGCATCTACGCATGAACGTTACAGATCTATCTGATTAGTAATATTATGGAGAGGGCACGTCTACTATTTTCACACAAGACATGGCGTACCGAAAGCTTCGTGGTTTATTGTACCTGCGAAGAAATAACAGTTGTTAGCACAAAACATAGAAATGCCTACGATTGTTTGGTATTGGGTACGAAATAATGTTTTTGCTGATGTTCAGTTGCACTATGAATGCGACTTACGTGACTGCGAAGGTTTTCGCAGAACATTCTAAGAATGCTGTCATTCATACGTTTTTTGATTTTTGAGAGGTCAGACATTTGAAGATGGATGCCGTATACACTAAAAGCTTCATATTACCAGCAAGTCATTTATAAAGACGCTGTAGACTATAGAAGCGGGAAATAACTTGCCTCATAATTTCGCGGAACCTCTTCGAACCGAATAGACCATAACTAACTTAATACTGGGATAAAAGGACTAGAAATGAAACTTACGGATTAGTATTAAAGAACCTACGATACTTGAGTCGATTATGTTTAGTGCACATGATTTTGCACCCATTTTGGTATGCAGTATCTAACCGATCATGTATCTTTCAAATGTATTATTTCATTTCTATCGGTGAGCCTGTCTTCAGTTGTTTGAGTGATTAGAAAGACTTTCAGACGAGTCCTCACAATACTACTTTGTCAAAGTTTCTTCATTACTTTGCACCACCAGACGAACGGTCAAAGATTAAGACACACTGAACGATTAACATTTTGGAAAATTTGGATCCGTTTCAATACGATGCAGAGTACTTCAGTCTAACTAGGCCTAAAATTCAATTCACTACAATGATACTGCAGCTGATTTCATCTGCTTGTGACAATGAAAAATCACTCCAATTACAAACACGTTTAGAAATTCGACTACAGTTTGGACGAATGATAGAGTATTTGATGGAATAAATCTTCTCTGCAAACCTAGTTTGTGAGACGGCAGTAATAAGAAACCGAATACGGTTTCGCGAAAGAATTTGTTACGTGCATTAATTCGATCAGACAGACTTAAGGATCGAACGTGTAAAAGCAAAGCGAAGACCATCAGATAAAACTAGCTAGTCAGCTATTTGCCACGAAACATGTCTAACTATTTATAGTCAGTCAATAATAGATTAGATGCGTGGAAGGCTGTTAAGCATGCTCACGCACACTTAAATAAATAATTGTCGATGCTGTTAATCATAATATTTATTCTCGAATGAAATTGTGTTACGTGATGCATTTCAGTTTACAGGCAACATAAAACTGTTACAAATGCTACCAAACTTACCATAAAACGTTGCGCAGTTAGATTAATTATATGAGTCTGTTCCTAACAGCAAGCTTGCTCTTTGTTATTGAAAGTAATGGCGTGATTCAGCCAACTTTTTCAATAAGTGAGTAATTACAAATAAAGTAGGTAAACAGCAGAGTTCGTTGGTGGTATGCATATATCAGGTGTGAATTTGTTAGAAAGTGTCGATTGGAGTGCGCTTGGTACAAGCTGTAACCTTGCCGAGTTCATACGTAAGGTGTGTACATCCTCCACGGCCTTACCGCTGTTGATAGATTTATGCAAATTTACATCTATATATCAACACTTAAATCACAATGTATGAGGCCATTAACCTGAATACTTTCACTTGCCGCGCAATATAGGATAACTGTGCTGGGAGGATGAACTCTGTTAAAACTGAACTTACGGAATAATGTATGAGTATTTTGCAAATAGGCTCCCTCTTTTACACCAAGACCACGCAATTTAATTCCTCGAAATACAATTGTTAACTGCTATTCCATTTTCTTATTTCCGGATTCACCGACTTGTTTGTGTGCTATGGTTCTTGATCTTTCCTGACTGCCTGCCTGTCGACTCTAATAACCCGCATCACAGTTGTCTAACGGTTTCAAATATTAATGCCATCAGCTCCTAGTTTCGCTTTTCCCACGCTTGTGTGACCACCGTCTTTTTTTGCTTTTCCTATATAGAGAGTATATCCTGTGCAATTGTTGGATCGTCGACTCCTCTCTCTACAATTTTCCAGGCTCTCAACATTGTGCACTCTCCCTCAGTACACAAGATACCTTTTGGCTGAATGCGAACCGCTACAGTCGAGTTAGACACTGTTTCACTCGTCAAATCGTGTTCCTTTCGTGTTTTGTATAGACTGGTAGGCTTCAGAGAACTTGAGTATTTCAGGTGCCAGATTCGTCTTGTCATGCTTCTTGTTATCGCACCCTCGAATTTATAGTTTGTTTTGATGTTGATTGCATAGTACTGAGTTCTGACCTGTACGTAAGTGGTTCACCGATTAAGGACTGTACACCTTGCATAATTTCCGTCATATCGATTCCTGGAGTCTGTATGACTGTCTTATTTACTCCCATGGTTGCATGAAAGTAAGTGAACCGTAGACATTCATACAGTAAACGACATAAGTGGGATATATGGACTAAACAAATTGGTCTGAGTACTAGATTCACTCATCCGTATAACTACAGAGGATTCTTCGACCATACTTGACGTTATTTCATGATGTGAACCTTGTGGAATGTAAGACTTCATTTTCGCTCCATCTTTTGAAGCTGTAGCTCAGTGTAAGCTGTCCGATCTTCCGATTACCATCTTTGATAGGTTTGTGCATTTAGCTATTACAATTATCTATTAGATGGCGCACTGTGTAGCGTAATCCTTTGTTGCTTCCTAGGCTTATCTTAGTCGTATCCGTTAGTGCATTCAATGGGGTAGAGGTGGTTGTAGATTAATTTACTTTTACTACCTCTGCATATCAAATAATATTTGAAATGCATAACTATTCAAATGCTGGTTGGTATTTGTCTGTTCGTCGTTACACAACAAATTTGTTGTTTCGGGAATTACGTAACCAGAAGTCTGTTCCTCATCAACTGACATAGCTCTTCGAGTTCCTTGAAAATATTGATAGTGATATATGTTGTGCTAGTTACAGGAAATCAGGAATGCTTTAAGTACAAGCGAACATCCATGTAGTTAATCTAAGCATTGTTGTTAAATGACAATGACGTATCTCGTATTAGGTCCTTATATTCTTTTGCTGTTCTCAACCACCATTTCTCTATTTTTTTTTATAGAAAAAAATGAAGCTACTGTCATTACCTTTCAAAATCGCTCTTTTCACTAACTACTTTAGTGTTCTTTTCAATATCATCAACGATTGCGATGAAACATATAATTATTGGGAGCCTTTACATTTCATCTCAACAAAAGGTGAAGGCGGTGGCTTCCAGACGTGGGAATATTCACCTTCTTTTGGTCTTAGATCTTATTTGTACCTCTGGTTTTTTGGTTGGCCATCTTATTTGTCATTCTATTTGGGCTTTCCGAATTGGCTTGCATTTTTGTCAGTCCGGATTTTTCTAGGACTAATCTCTGCTGTTTCCGTTAGTTTACTTTCTTCGACAGTAGCTACTTACATATACTCAAAGAGTCGCAAGCAAACTGGGGCGCTGAATCTAACTAAGAAGAAGAAACTATTGTCGTTTCTGCTATCGTTTTGTTGTTGTATATCCCCAGGAAACTTCTTATCATCAACAACGTTTCTTCCTAGTGGACCATCGGCTTCTTTCACCACTCTCATGTTGGTATTTTGGTTAAGACGTAGTTATTTCTGGGCTGTTGGATGCGTCGCCTTCACAGGCCTAATTGTTTGGCCCTTTGCCGCTGTCCTTGGTGTTCCTTTGGCTGTGTTCTTGATGCTTAATGGGCAAATGTATCGTTTAATTAAGTTGGCATTCGTGTGGATCCTCCTTCTTATTCCCCCCCTTGTCCTTGTGGACTATTTTTACTTCGGTCGTTTCATCTTAGCACCTTTTAATATAATTTGGTACAATTTATTCCTTAGCAGCAAACAAGGTGGGAGTGCTTCTCAATTGTACGGAACAGAGCCTATCTCGTTTTATATTAAAAATTACATCCTCAATCAAAGCTTGTTGTGTATTTTCGCTCTTGTTTTTTTCGGAATCACTATAATAAAATTTATCTCACGTTTTTTTCAAAGAAAGCTCTCAGAAGGTGGCCATTCTGACGGGAATCATACATTGCTTCCTGACATTTATTTGATTGTAATTGTCTCTTTATTTATTTGGAATAGTATATTTTTTATACAGTCTCATAAGGAAGAAAGATTTCTTTTTCCATGCTATTCCTTTATTTCAGTTGCATCGGCTATTGTTCTCTTAGAATTAATCGAAACTTTTAATTCTGATACTAAACGTATATTCTTGAGATATACTGCTTTGTTCATTGTTCTTGTTTCCTGTTCAGTTATATTTTTAATGACTGTGTCTCGTATTTCCACCCTTATGCGTTATTACAATTCTCCAATGTTCTTAGTCAAACATCTTCCCGTTCCGTCATCTCAGTCTAACAAACCTTTGTTATGCATAGGACGTGAATGGCATTATTTCCCAAGTAGGTTCTTTCTCCCGGGAGGCGCTGAGAACTGGCGCGTTGGATTTGTTCAGTCTGCATTTTCTGGTCAATTGCCAGGTCAGTTCGCAAAACCATCAAATGGTGTTGTATCAGACTCCACAAGGATTGATGGGAGTCATTTCAACTCAGAGAATCTCGAGGAGATCGACAGATTTGTTAAGGACGAGTCTAGTGAATGCACTTATATGCTTGATCGGGATTCTCCCCCTGGTAATCGAGAAAAATTGTATGTAGCGGACCGAAAGATTTGGTTTTCTCTTGTTAATCGAACTATTCTTGACTCGAATAATTGCAGTCCAGATGGTAATTCCCTTGGTTTGAGTTTAATATTCCGTTGTCGACTTTTACGAACTTTTTATGTCCCCATTCTTTCAGAAAAAGTGAACCGGAAGATTCATATTCACATGCTTGCTCGTTATGTTAATGCACTGATTGGATAATTTTTTTGCTCCTTAGCTCTCCTCATATTTTTTAGGTTGCTGTGACTATTTTTTATCGCTATGTTCCTTGCGTTCGCTTTGTCTTTTTAATTTGTTTCGCGTATGTTTATACCAATATTTAAGGTGGTTTGTTTATTTTGCACTATTTTGTTCACTTAAAAAAAACCGTTCTCGGTTTTCGGACTTGAGTTCGATTAATCTATTTGATCCTCACAATGGATATCGTTTCTTTCTAGATGACTAAAATATGCATCATCTTGGTTGTTTTGATTGAGGTAACGTTTATAATCAATTTTCTTTTCAAGTGCTTAACACAGTTCCATCAATAATTAAAACGTGCCTGGAATATGTTTTTGACATCGTCTTGTTTATTGATAAAACTCGTCCCATCAGTCTTCACTATTGTTGTCTGTTGTTTTACTACTTATTTGTCTAAATTAATCATGACTAGGTTAGTTAGTGGCTTATTAATTCCAAATTTTATACGCAGTATTGCAGTAAGATAAGCTGTGCAATTTAAGTAACTCCTTACATCGGTGTCTGAGTTTATCAGCTTACTTTTTGCCATTCTTAGTCTCAAAAGTCAAAACAGCCCCTACGGATAGGCTGGAAGAAAACTAGGAGGGACCAAAACATGACACATCCATGAAATCACTGACAACTGGATTGAGCCATGTTAGTATGCGCAGACTATCAGGTTGGTGCCCGTGAGACCACAATAACCGATGGTTAGAGACTTTGGATGACACGGCTCCAAGTCGTTTGCAATAGCACAGATGTATCCATTCTTTGTCTTTCCTCAAATTCTAATCTGAATTCCTCATGATTGTTTTTTCTCTTAAGTTGATTCCACTCGGATATACTTTTCGAATCATATCTTCGATCGATCTTTTTGATTACCGTTAATACCTCTACTACTGTGAGATTGGAACTGACAATTCCTCTGTGCTAATGTGGTATAGGGATTTGAACTAATATACGTGTGCAATAAGTTCTACGCTGTAGCTGGGTGACTGACCGGAATTCGCGGTCAAGCTCACAGAGTGTAAACAACGTCAAGTTACTATTATAAAGGAGTGCTTACTTAAATGTATGTTGTGCGTTGTTGTTTTCTGTCCACTTATTATCTCGTACATATTGATGTTCAGTTATTATTGGTTTTCCTGTCCTGATACTAATTCGAACAAATGAAGCTAGTTTAGACCAAAGGAATCTAATATATTCTGAAACCGTCTTCATATGCAGTATATTTTCTGAGTTCACACTACAAAATACTCTCAGTAGCGATGTTTTACCCCGTTAATTTTAACTTTTCGTTTTATGCTGGGATATGTAAAAACCTCAACTACTGGATCGTAAACTTTATTTCATTTTTGTATATTCAACGAAAAGTAATATCAGTAGGAATTTCTTAGTTCAGCTTATTACCAGTGGTAAACCGCTCAAAACATGGTGTGAGATATTTTAATTTCTACACTAAGATTGGACCGTTTCCTGAAGTTCGTTCGCTTCAGTTTGCATACCTTCCTGCTCGCCTTCCCTCTCGAGTCCATCCTGTTCATCCTCGCTTGATGCCGGACGTTCTTCTTCCTCTTCAAGTACTATATCATTCTTTAATTAAAAAAACGATTTTACTGAAAAATCCTGTGAATGAGGTTAAAGGGAATGTCAAAATAGTGATTTGTGAATGCAAACGTGGTTTGTCTATGAACTAATACAGTTTGATCATTCGTACGTACGTTCAAGGTTTAGATACTGTCGTAATCATAACCCGGAGTTAATTCTTTTGCTAGAACTAAAGCTTAGAAGCTTCATAGTCAAACAAATAATTCTTCAGTATTGTTTTCCTGCTTAATCAAACTTTGTTCACTGAAAATGAAGTTTCTTTTATGATATACTTCATGTGAAGAAAACATAAAACAATTTTTGTACAAGCTTGAGTTTTCGACGTCTCGCATCGATCTTATTAAACGAACTACATTAACACCAGTATCTGTCATTTTACTAATTATTTTGTTTAAAACCATTGAGGAAAAATCCAACCTCTCTTAATGTCGTAGCCACTTTAATATGTTTCTGTTGAAATACCAATCTGCATTTTAGCGCTTAGATTGTAATATGAAATCTGAATAATATTCTGTTATAAGTAATAAAAATTGTCATTTACATCTCTCAGAGATGGCTCATTGTTATATTGAAAACCCAGTTTCATACAGTGTTTGGTCCATCAGAAGAACGCTTCATACTAGAGTAATCAATTAGACGTGGATTAAAGTATGTATTTATATATATATGTTCGAAAACAAGGGACATGAGTTCAACCATCACGAAAATCCTTGACATTGTTTAGATAAACAAAGTGCCTATATTTAAACTTAACTGATAAAAGTAGAGTGATAAGCACTTCTAGTACTTGTCAGTAACCGTTATCTAAGTATCTAATTTAGCTAACTATTGATGTCACTTTTATCCTATAATAACAAGACGCTATATTTCAGATGTTTCATACATGCAGCTCCCTTTATCATCTTGGACAGTTCAAATCTTTGTTCTTACTCTCTTCATTTTTGAAATGCTGTGATTTTAAAGAAAGGGATTAACAAGATCTACCCGTTTATTGTTTGTAGTTTGTGCTGATTCCATAGCAAGCTTTTCTCTTAGTTCTCGCTCCTTAAGTTTCCGTTGAATGGTTTCAAAAAATTGTTCTGTTGAGCGTGTGATTTCTTCCGGTTTTGTGTCTAATTCTTCCTCACCAGCAGAAATCGCTTCTTCCTGTGTAGAAAAAGTAATGCTTATCAAAAAATTAAGGTACTCAGAATCAGGTAAGGCAAGTTATAAAACTGTTTAAGAATATCAGTGAGGTCAGCTTATGTTGCGACGTTTACACTGAGTCATGAAACGTCAGAAAAATTTAATGCTTGCGCTCATTAATAAATATATTGTTATTATTATTAACGGGTGTAGTGTTATGATTTGATAATAATTGATGCTAGTTCAGAGGGTTCAGATGAAGACAGTTAATCAAGGTGTGGACAAAATAAGATGTTATGGTTCAGGGTGATTTAATTACATTTATGTGGAATGTGTAGTTTACTTTTAAACAATTTACTCTTAGTTGTGAGTCGTACTCATTTCAGCCGCCTCAAGCTGATCTAGTTGCATCAAAGTATAGAAAGCTGTTGATTCATCACTTATCAATTACAATCATATGAATATGAGTGGGAGCGTAGGTAGATACGACGAAGAGGCAACGGCGAGTATCCTTATCTTCCAGAATCCTTACCGTCCCGTTAAGTTGGAAACAGCACAAACAACCATCTACTTGTGTCCAGTCTAAGAGAACTAGGTCTGCCCTAGCACTCAATACCATACCTACACCAGCGAGGCGTCGGAAAGCAGTAGCAGGGCTTCCAGATACATGGAGTGTAATTTCAGCTGGTTCTTTATATTGATATGGTGAGGTACATTGAATGACACTACTCAATTCCTGTATGCCCGTTTCAGAGACGCAGCTTACATCGATGGCTCGGATTTTTAATTTCCTGGCCAGTGAAGCCTGTTGTCCTATTTGACACAATGTCAGGACTTTAAAGCTCCAACATGTAGATTAGAACGGGGTTTCAGGAGACTAGTAACAACGGTTTGCGAAGTCTAATTGCTTGCATTAACGATGCAGCGTGATGTGAGAAGGGTGAGTCGAGGAGATAAGAGATTTTAGGGGGTGCAGAAAGGATTTGATTGTGACTAATTAGGTTTCGTAAACAGTTACAAGTATGAAAGCGGATTTCATTTCCCAGGTGTTTCGAAATGTATGTAGTGATTCCAGGCTCTGGGTAATTATACCGTGTCTACCGAGAGTGGTTTCTTCTGTATCCTTGACATCAGACAGAAAGTTCTTATCGCTCTATTAGCTTGGGTCAATTGTCAGACACTGCATAGGCGAACTCTATCCCTTCATTTCACTAATGCAGCGTAATCCTACTTCATTAAATTTTCAAAAAATTGATGACACGAATTTAAAGACTCTTTGACTGACTATTACTTTTTATTCGGCCTGGCGTCGGTTAAAAATTGGTCCTCTGCAGCAGCTAGTCTGTAAAGTTGCCAGAAATTATCAGGGATAACAAACTGCCAAATATTTACTACATAATCGAATCGTTGGCGTCTTTTGTAAGTATTTTCTACAATTCGCATCAGTGATGTGTGACATCCGAATGTGATCTCGTTTTTATTTATAGTATAGATATCTGGATTCGCTACTCATAGTATTTATGCACTGAGTCATTGTTAGAACACTTTTCCTTGCTTAAACTTCGTTTATATTGTCTGCATAGATTTCTGATACGAGGAGACTTAAATTTTAAAAATTTAACGCTTTGAAAGCAGTTGTGTCAGTCATGTTAGACTGACCACATCTGAAAAAGAGTTGAGTTTTAGCTTAGTAAACCAGGCATAAAATATCATGGAAAGTTATCGAAAGCTAAGTAACAAAATCTGAGGGCTAAGTTAATAAATTGAATCCGATTTGGATCTCGTACATCGTTCTCGACGTACTCGAACTGGTAAACACTGTCAAGTAAGAATCATTTTGTCTGTTTGTTTGCTTGCTACAAAGCTTTCTGTATGTTTTTAAAAAAGTTGTCATCACATTGAGTTATAATGTAAAAAGAACTTCTAGCAGCAGCAACTAAGCACACCAACCTGACATACTAAGAATACGTACTTCACTTAGAATCGACTGTTATAAACCTTGGGTTTTCTGCTCTTAATGATACTAGAAATTTAGTATTTGACAACTCTGTTGAGTAAATCTTTTTGATGAAACTCCCGGGATGAAAATATTTCTTAACTGATACAACAAGTGGTAATTTTGTGAAAATTTTTCTCTGTTCTGATAATCAAATAAGGGAACATCGAGTAGATTCCCTTGCATTGGAAAGATAATCAGAACCATATAATTAGTTGGGTATATGAATCATTCCACCGGTTGGGAAAATTTTGTTAACATATAGGTAATGTTTTCTATACGGTGTGTATAGTGGTGCCTGTGTATTTATCCACTTTTACTTTTTATATGACGGTGTATTACCGAGCCTTGTTTATCTTTCAATATTAGCATCAGCATGATCCCGATCCGATCATACGGGGATCAGACTCACGTTCAAGTAAAAATAAAGGCGGATATTAAGGGTTTGTTTTATAATTGGTTTCTAATAGACAACATAGTTAACCAGATTGTATGCTGATGATCCCTTGAGGGTTTCCTAAAAACACGTATATCTAAAACTGTTTCGGATAATTCCATTAACTCTATCTAGAACAAAACTGCTCTATTTGTTTTCTAGTGTAAATATTTGTTAGTTGAGACCATCAATATCACTTCGCATTATTTTGTTTCTGATACTTCATGAAACAGCTTTTCGACAAGTCGTTAGGATGGACGAGGCATTTCGTTTTAATAATTTTTATGACATATGTTCATAAGTAAACTCACTGTTCCCTGCGCTTTTTGTCTGCGTAGTTTTATTTCTCGATTTCTGGCTTCCAGGATCTTCTCACGATGAGTTTCTCTTTCGAACATGGCAGTCACTAAAGACCTCTCATTTTTAGGCTGATTCCAAAATCCTTCAGAGAGCTCAAGTATTGTGCATATTCCACTATGTGATCCTGTTGCGATAAGTCGACCCTGTTCTTGAACTTTGAGACAATGGAGTGGTTCTTCACATATCTACCATTTCGGAATAAAATATATTTGAGTTTGTTAGTTAGCTTTTCTTAAAGGACCTACCGTTGTCATTTTTTAAGTTAAAATATTCATCTCTGTTCAAATAGTTTGTATCGTGAACTTGATGGTTCCGTTATCCAAGAATCTATAAAAATTGCCTTTGAAATCACTCACTAGAATTAGCTTAATTATTGAAACGTTGAAGTTATTTTGATGACAGATGGACAAAGTTATTTGTTTTATTAGCAGTGCAAAGTCAATCTCCATTACCTGCGCCTTATAATTGGCCACTATTGAACGTCTGCCTCTAACCGGAGTAGGTAACATTATCTTGTAAGTGTCCACTTAGTCTTTAGAAGGTCTTAAGTTCAGTGAAATCTTTTATCTAACTGAACCGTAGGTTTTAATTCTACATTAAGTTACATCTGCTAAGATATCTATCCAAATACCAGATTTCATGAGTATGATACTTTTTAAATAAAGGTACATTCCTAAAACGCGTGTATTTTACAAATCCCACTATCTTCGTGGATAATCAAAATACCTTGATTAGATCTGAGTTATATTCCTTAAAATTCCATTTTTATAGTTGAACTTATTTTTTTTTTGGTGGATTAGCACAGTTAAGTTCATTTTTGTTCTAAAATATACTTGTGACAGAAAATAATATACTTTTTTAGTACGTTCAATTTGTATTTGGCTAAGTGTCCTATTGAGTTACAGAAATCTTCCAGCCGAGGTATAAAATAACATTTGTACTTGGGTTGAACCTACTCTTGTGACATTGTTCTTAGTGTTCAATATCAGTATAGGTATTAAGTAGTGCGTTTTCCTCAGTGTTTCTTAGATAATTGCGTTCCTTTTCGTCTGTTTCTATCTTTCCAGTCAAAGTGCGGTCTGATTTTTAAAGAAATATTTTAATAATGAATCCCGATCCAGATTTTTCAGACGAACTTTTATTTATTATACTCAGCGACGACTGAGATCGTACTACCACTGAATTAGATACTTCAGCGTTGCACTACACAGACTGGATCACGTTTAATCAGATATGTGATTCACAACCAGAAACGAAACCTAGAGTGAGCGATAGACAATATTATATTCCACACAATTACAAGCTGTAACATCCACGAATTCGGAGTAGATATCAACGAAAAGAGGTAAAAGCACATTTATCAATCAGTAGGCTGTGCCTGTTAGTTTACGCTCGAGGATAAGTCACATTTTTCTTTCACTACAACACCATGGATTAACTAATTTGTTTAGGTTAAGTTGATGAAATATATTTGTGCTGAATATCAGTAAAACTCCCACAGCATTAGAAAACACAAACTTTTTCCAATAATCTGAGTTAGCTTTCTTGTCGACGTATTCGAAACGTCATGTGCAGACATTTATTTTTCAATAGGATTAAGTTTTAAATCGAGTCATGAATATATTGCTGTATTATTCGGGCTCCGAATACTATTTTTGTCTTAATAAGATATAATTAGTCCATTTTCTCAAAATATAAATGTGAAAAAGTGAATGAAAATAGCCAAACATTTGCTGAACACAACTTCAACTACATATGTTTTCGATAAACAACAATTTCAAAATTAGTTTGGTCCTAACCAGCTAGCTAACTTTTAGGATCATATTCATAAGCTCATTTTTCTGGTCTCTAATAGCGAAATAAATTGTGATCGTGCATTAGCTTGTTTAATGCCAATTATCAAGACACGAATCTCTGCTGACAATCATGAATAAAGATCAGAAATTGTACTATTTGAACCGACTGCTGGGTATAGTTCGTATACGAACCACAGGTGGCTAAAATTCACTGATTTCCAGTGGTTTAATAATGAATGTAAATGTCTTTATAAACCTTGCATCTCAAAAGTATTCTTCTGCACAATAAAAACAGTTACCCATAAGAACTAAAAATTACTCATTCAGCATACCTGAATATTCAGAGCAGGTTCTTTCTGTTTGAAAATAATATCCCATATACTGAGTGTCCCGTCTAAACGTGTAGTGAAAAATACGGCCGGTCGGATGGGACTCCAGCATCCATCCGAGAGACCGTGGTTGTGGTTAGCTGTCCACATAATGGGAGATTCTCGAATATCTTCCGACCATATTCGAGCAGTCCAGTCCCCAATGCTGAGAAAGTTCTTGGGGAAGAATGGATTTCTCTGTAATGCATAAACAGGTCCAATATGTCCAGGGTAAACAGCAACGATCTTTTCGGCAGGTGTTTTACCTTTCCGATTGCAGGAAATAATCATTCCCTGAAAATTACAGGATCAATTTAAAGTGTAAAACATTCCTTATTTTGTCTTGTTTAAAAGCTTGTAACTATAACTTTTTTCGGTTCCAGCTCCCTAGGTGACGTATATCATTATTTTAAGTTTTTGTTATCGGTGATAGCAAATAAATCACTTTTCTGAGTCTCCTTCCAAGTGAACTGGCTTCATTTTAACCAACTTTTAGGTTATTTTTGGAACGGATGATCATTGATTAACATATTCTGATGGTCTCTTATAGGGTTGCATACGCTGTCAGTCATGTTTTGTTCTGGTTTCGCGATCTAGGTTCTCCATTTGTTTTTCATCACTACATAGTAGTACTTGTACTGTAGAAAGTGTGTTAGCAAAAAGTACTTTCACTGATAGTATGTCTTATGGATTGTTTCGTAGTCGAACTTCTCCGACAAAATGGGAATTCTTATATAATTTCTTATGATTGAATCGATACATCAAAGTTAATATATTCTGTTCAATGATGAATACAAGTTTTTTTAGTAATATACAAATTTTCGTAACCATCATATGAATTCTAATAAAAATTAAAAGGCTTGATGGGAATGCCATTCAATTTACTCTGTACTTTGGCGACATTACTTGATATGATCTGGCTTGGTAAGTAGAAATTCAGTTATATACTGACTCTAAAAATGTCTCTACCTTGAATTCTAAATTCCACAGAGTTCGTTTGTCATGTATTGTTAACAGGCGAAAATATCAATGCACCGTATAGATCATGGTCATTGCAATGTTTCTTTGATGTATGATCATTATTCGTGCAGGTAATGAATACATTTGAAAGATAAACAAACACTTATGCTTATAATACAACGTTTGCCGGTGTTTTCAGTGTGAAATTTCATGCGATCAAAAACGATTATGTACACATTCTATAGAACAAACCTGTCATTGTATATTGTAATGATACTTTCAGGCGACTGAATTAAAGTAGTACACTAGATTTTACTTCCTACACTTACGAAGTATTCATATTTGATTTAAGGTCAGTTAATGGAATGTATCAATTGTCGAAGACAAAATTTCGAAGTACCATGCATGTCAAATATTTTTGATGTTGCGGAAAAACGAATAAACCATAATCATTAGTAAAATGAAACAGAATTCGGTTGGAATCATTCCTCGATTTTACGGACAAAAAATAACCATATTCAGTTTCGGAGCCAGCTCGTGTACTAAATAACGAATACCGAAAATGGCTAAAGTCCCGAAAGTTTGCGTACCTAGAGTAGTTCCTGATCACTAGACAATAATTAAAAAACAAGGCAATAAATTTTATCCAAGAGTGGATTGATTTACTAACCTGTTCAGTCCCAGCCATAAACTTAGTTGGAATTGTAGATTCGTACTCCAGTGCATATGCTCCTTGAGCACAAGAAATATCTTGTTTTTTGGTGGTATCAAGGTATAGAAATTCTGTAGGTTCAGACATTTTTCTAACATCCCACCAGAAAACCTGTCCATCAGTCCCAGTGGAGAAACACTCAGTACCAGTTTTCGATTGTATCCATAGTGCTTTCCAAACAGGATCTCTGTGGCTATGCTCAACCGGGGATATTTCAACAGGAATCGGTCCCCTACGTCTGTCCCAGAAAGCTAGGTTTTGAGAACATAATAATTGTAAATGTTATCTACCTAACTGTCCATTGTAACATCCGCCAATTAGAGTGTGAGAATCCTTAGGATTGTATTCTATACAGACAAGAGGAGAGGTGGGTTTTAGAACCAATTCTGGTCTATTGGGATTATTTAAATCCCATATGTATGAATCATTGGACAGGTTTTGAGAAGACTGAAATTCTGTGTTACAATAAGCGACTGCCAATTTTGTCGGACCATCTGTGAACCAGGATATGTAGGCGATGCTTCGTTTGATTTCGTTTGTGTCTCTAAATAATGAATTTACGAAGGCTAAATTGTTTCACTTTAAAACGTTAATAGTCTTGGCAGACGGGAGATCCTCTGAAGCATTTAGATCCAGATCATCAAAGTAGTTTTCATAAATGTTTAAAGCATTATTTTGTTTGATACGGTGTTCCATAATCTGCAGTCATTAAGTTATTGAAATAAACATACGTTTCCAAGTTTGTGGACTGTTGCTATATAAACATCTTCTTTCTCAACTTTTTTTCGGTATCTTATAACCTGGTCTGGTTCCTGTGGATTAACATCTTTTGGCCAGCCACCTTCCGTGTGATTCATTCCACGGGTTTCCGATCTGTATCTTTCAGTATTTGCTTCATGTTCAGACATTTCTTGTGAGCATTGTATACCTTTGTCAAGTGGAGTGATTTCGATAAATTTCTGGGACAAGTCTGCATCAGGTAGTATTTCTATCAGGATTTCTGCATTTTTGTCGCTAAAGTTACACTGTCGTCCGAATTCTGATCGCTTTTTTGCATAAACATAATTTATTTCCATTTTTCAAATTGAGCGGTCTTTAAGTAACAGTGGTTTCCAAATATAGTAGACACTATAACAAAATTAAAAAAACATCTGATTTACCAGAAGTAAAAACAGTTGGTCTGATGACTTTTCATAGTTCTAACAATTTTTTTCCAGATGAGATCGACCTTATTGAAAGCGTTCATTTGTTCTCGAAGGTCGTTTCTAACATAGTCTATACAGATATATTTATTGAGGGATTCAGACCAACGGACAGTGTTATTCTTCATCCAGGAAGTTTCTTTCAGTCTATAGTCTTCTCTTGCATATGCTTAATAGAGGTAAGCTCACCGATTATTCTGCGAGTAGATTTCTATGTCGAAAACTATGCATAAAAACGTATATGCTATTGGTATTTAATTTGTTCTTATCTTCCTAACTTTCCGACGACCTCGTTTACTTTTGTGTGACCCGGGTTTATGGAGCGTAAAATCAATTTTTAGTACTCTGCAACTCAAAACCCGATTATTTCAGAGTACGTTTAGACTGCGTTCTTAACCTACCGAACTGGATTATAAACGATTGGGATTCTGAAATGAACTTAATAGCTAATCCTTAATTTTCCAAGATATTCTAATTATTTACTAAACCTTAATATCATTCATACTGATTACATAATTCATTCAACTAAATATACTTCCTTCCTCTCGCCAAGTCAGTAATGAGCATCATAACTGTTATCATTTAAATGCAATCCATTATTGTGAAGATACTGACTCATTCCTTTCCCTACAGTATTTCGTATCAGTAATGATGGTAAAGAAATTTTCAAACTTTTCTAGGTATTTATCTTTGTGTCCGACTGAATATAATTAAACAAAGCCAAACTGGCAGTCTTAAAACACAACTTAGACTTAATGACCAGACCGTCTTCGTTGATATACATTTAGGCGCGCGACAAGAGTTGTCTTCCTGAACCTTAAGGCGGCATTTTACTCTGTCGATCTTGATGTCCTGCGGCACTGCCTATGATTAAAAGGTGTGCTTAGTGGCGAGACATTGGTGTCAGTGAGCACAAGTTTGGTAACTCGTATGCTCTCAGGATCTGGTGTGTGGCCGTCGGCATCAAGGACGAATCCCAAATACTTTACCGACATCAATAAAACTGGCGCTTCTCTGGGTGTAACCGGAACCTGTTTCCACTGATGCAATGCAATGCCAATGTCGTGCGTTCGCGTAGCTGTTCTAATGTCATCGCAACAATCGAAATGTGATCGAGAAAAGCGGCGACTCCCAAGAGACCTGATGGGATGATATCTATTAGTTACTGGAAGATAGAAGGGGCGGTCTTGACTCCGAGTGTCAAACGGTTAGTATTTATAGTAAGCAGCTATTTTGATGCCTTATCTACTTCCACTTGCAAATAAGCATCAGCTTAATCTAGCTTTCCTAAAACCTTTCCCCCATTCTGCATTGTAAACAGATCTGAGGTGACTGACCGAGGATAATGATGCTGTTCGAGAGCTCGATTGAGACCCGTAGCAAAGTCGGCACAAATACGTATCGTGCCGTTGACCTCCATAACAAATATAGGTGCTGCTTAAGCAGAGTAATAAAACGGCGTAATAACCTCTTATTGCTGAAGATGATTCAGTTCTTTATTCAATGTTGGTGACGTTACATAATGCGTGGGTCTCTTCGGACGGAAAACAGGCTTAGAACCTAGGTTACAATCAAAGTGTTGCTTTCATGGCAGAACGCTGACCCACTCCAGGTAGGAAAACAGTTAAAAACTTCGTCATTTACTTCATCGTACATGCTTCAGGTTTACGTGGTTGTGGTCCTAGGTGGAACACGGTATTTTACAGGACATCACCTTATTTTAGTTGATCGAACCAATCCAAACCAAGGGGGGTTAGACCAGCCGGCGTTTTATGACATACCACAGTAAACGACGAATCTCGGAAAGTAACTATAAATTCCAGTTGCCCTAAAATGCGCAGGTAACTACCACAAGAATTCCGAGTCTTTTGCAATGTTTTCTGCATACTTAGGCTGCCCATTATGGTCTAAATTTTATTTGGGAGAATGGTGTCATCTGACGCCCTATCTATTTGCAATGCAGAAGACGTCTATCCCTTTTATGATATAAGACTAGGCTCACGGAATCGGTACCAGATCCAGTAACAGTCGATTCAGAACTTATACAGCGGTTTGGCTTCCTCTTTAGACACACGACCTAGCACATCTTGAATTGATGTTGCCGAAACGGGTGGTTTCATACACTGTTCCATGGGCCGCAGTGACAGCAAGAATCTGGGGTATCTGTTTTCGAATTTTGGACTGAGCCAGAGTGAAAAGAACTGGGTGTGGCGGGGTCACCTTTATTCTGTTTAGCTGTCCATCGCACTACACCTACATACGAATGATTAGATAAACCACTGCGAACAATATTGGTGTCTTACTTACTTACTTAATTACTTACGCCTGTTATTCCCAATGGAGCATAGAACGCCCACCAGTTTTCAACAAACAACTCTGTCCTGAGCTTCCTTCTTCAGTTCTGTCCAATGTTTGTTCATTCCCCTCAAATACATAGGTGTCTTGCAACAGATTAATGAGGCGTTGATACTCATTGGCAGTGTCACTAAAGGTGAGTTTAGGATCTTGATCCGATCGACCCAGTAGCTGTGTTGTCATGTCACTGAGCTTTGGGAACTGGAGGCCGAAAATGAGGATGAGGGCTTTGAACTGGTGTTCAGTCAAAGACTTCAACCGGAAGCGTTCGCACTCACGGTTGACCGTGCCCACATGCCTAAGAAAATCGACGAACTTTTGGCCTAATGACTGGACTGTGTCTAAGAATGGGCGGTCACGTGGTTTCAAAGGCAGAATATAATTACAGTACCTATCCAGTTCACTTGCTTCCAACAATTGAAGTAGCAGCCGAACATACCAAGCATCATCTTAACTAGAAAAATAGGTCTTCATAACGCCAGAACCACATGTCAAAAGTAACGTCGGTATCAGGATCATGATGAAACTCAGCAATACCGTATGCGATGTCGTCTACTGATGGTACTGTGGTTGCATCAGATGAGCTAGGCTGTATAGGAGGCGAAACCTTGGCATCTGTTAAAATCCTCATTACTTTTAGCTGTTGCTCAAGTATTGATTCAAGTTTGGAAGGATCCATGTTTCAAAAACCGCCGTCGCCAATTTGATATGCTTGCAAATATTACGAGTTAACCTTACTCGATAAACGGAACGAAGATCAAAGATGCAGTGACACAACAGGCTACTCTAAGCCGAACGTCCCAGGCTCCACGAACAGAGTAAGAAGTCTTGATAAGACGTAGAGAATGAGTTCCACAGGCAACTAGAAAGTACCATTGACGAGCAAGGTGGATCTGATGCGGATGTAAAGTTGCGAACCGGGAAAGCAAGGGGTGAATTTTTACAACTGAACAACATTTGGAATTCAAAACAACTGTCAACAAATACAAAAGTCAGAATTTTCAATACAAATGTCAAGACAATTCCACTGTATGGGGCGGGGCCTCGGAAAACTACCAAAGCCATCATCGAGCAGATAAGTGTTCATTAACAGTTGTCTACGCAAAATACTTCGGATCCGTTGGCCAGATACCATAAGCAACAACCCACTGTGAGAGAGAACAAACCAGATTCCAACGGAGGAGAACAAGAGAAGCGCTAGATGTGGATAGAACACACATTGCGAAAGGCATTCAACTAAATAACAAGACAAGCTCTTGTTCGGCTGACATTTATTGCTGCCTTCTTGTTCCTTCTCCCTTCAATTTTTAAAGAGTACCAACAGTGATTCATTCCTTTTGATGATGCTTCTTGTGACCTAGGACCTCCTGACATGTTTAAGTGATTCCCTCTTTCATCCCTTTCGAATTTTTCTCTAATGTTGCTTCCTCTCCATGGCGTCTATCGTGCAAGGCCTGCAATCTATCGGTGAGTACTATCTTGAATTCGTTGAGTTTTACGGTATCCCGAAGAAAGGCCGTACTAAACTTCTGTGATGTTGTGTGTCCCGTTATCCAGTATTTCTTGAGTTTCAGTTTCATTTTAGCGACCATCAAGTAATGATCTGAGGCTATATCAACTTCTCTCTTGGTTCTCACATCCTCCATGTTCCTTCTGAACATTTTGTTGATACAGATATGGTGCATTCGGTTCTGAGTAGTGTGGTCCGGTGAAATCCATGTTGCTTTAAGTATGCGTTTGTGTGGGAATATTGTGCCAGCGATGACCAGTTTGTTGAAGGCACATAGGTTTGCAAATCACTCACCGTTTTCGTTCCCTTTTCCTGGTCCATGTCGTCCCATGAGGTCTTCATATCCAGTGTTGTCCATTCCAACCTTGGCATTCAGGTCTCCCATAAGAATCGTCAAATCCTTTAGTGAGCATCTGTCCACGATAGACTGAAGTTGTAGTCATTGGTATGTGCATAGCATTGGATGACGTTAAATGTGATGTCCTCTTACTTTATCTTGAAGGATGCCTGAATGATCCTGGGTCCATGAGATTCCCATTCTATCAGCAACTTTTGAGCTTGTTTAGACAGCATCAGTGCAACTCCTTGTGTATGTGAAGCATTTTCCTCTTCATGACCAGAGTATAACAGCAGTTCCCCTGAAGCTAGTCTCAGTTGTCTTACCTGTGTCCAGAGAAACTATCTTATGTGAAGTTCCAGAATACTAGTGTTTTCACGTCTTTTGATTTGATGGCAGCACTCCAGCCCTTGAATCAATGTCATACAATACTCTAAGACTACACACTTTGTTTTGCATTAAGACAAAAGAAGCACTTCATGATTTAGTGTTTATCCGAGTGCTAGCGACTGATCTACCCGTATGTTAGTTAAATTGGTAAACTAAAAATCCTCACTACTCATTAGACTAAACTGTGAGGCGAATTCTGTACCGACGTTTGAATAAAGCCGATTATTTGACTTTCAGAATACAAATTATATACATAGCACCTCAAATTTATGAAAATCGATAGATGATATTCTTCACGATCTCTGAATATAAAATCTATAAAATCTAG